AAAAAAAAAAAAAAAAAAAAAGAAAAGAAAATCCCTTCCCTTAATTATCATCTTGGGTGGTTCTGTGATGCTTTCATTTGTATGACTTTCTTTCGAGTTAAAAGGGCAGGGCAGTGTTTACTTTTTATATCCTTTTTGTGTATGAGCTGGGATTCTTTCTATTTATATGAATATTCATTTCAAATGTTTCCTTTTTTGTTCCTTTGTTTTCCGTGCTCCTTTACCATTCATCTTCTCATCTGCTCTTGATTGTTCTACTTGCATTTTCATGAGTGATAGCTTGTGTAAGAGCAATTGAGAAGAGCACGAGCGATAGCTCGATAGCATGTGTGTAAGAGCGTTAGTGATAGCGTGTCTAAGAGCAAACGAGAAGAGCACGAGTGTAGCATGTGTGTAAGAGCGATAGTGATAGTGTGTAAGAGCAAGAGCAGTAGCTAGAGTAAAAGTAGTATGCAAGAGTGAGATTAAGGGCCAGAGAAAGAGCACGAGCGATAGCTCGTGTGAATATGAGAACGATAGCACGAGTAAAAGAAAAATCATGATCAATAGTGATAGTTCTGGCTGGTACGAGATTGATAGTGAGAGCGATCTTGGGAAGATATTCCCGCTCAAGTGTTCTTTGGGATTGTGAAGGTCGTGTATGCACGTGGATTCGTTTCAATTACAATGGTAGATGTATCAACGGCGTAGTTGATAGACACATGCTTTGTAAACTATTGATTTGTATGATCGTTAATGGATCATCTCTCATTTTTCCGTTCTATCATTTTCACTGAATTGTCAAAGTCATTCCCTAACCAGTTGAATGACATGTACCTATTTGTTTGTGGAACGGTTCCTAATTATTCCACGATAACATAATTATCCACAAAAGAAGTCGACTCGATTGATCACTTCGGTTAAGTGAAATTTTTAACTGTCTATTCATTTATCCAATGCAATCTTCTTCAACACTCAATGGTATGTTAATAAACAATAAAAGGAATGTTTTTAACAATAGCTAATAATTATCCCTAATAATATATGTTAAAAAAATTTATAACAATATTACAAGTACATTTCATTACACGAGTTCGAACAATAAAATAAATAGTTTAAACGATAGATAATAATTGTTTGCACGTTTGTCTATTGTGGCTCTTTTCGATGGTATGGTTTTCTTCTCAACAATATTTGAATGAGTTCTTCCATAATATATATGTCCATCTGGATTCTATACAGTCATAAGACCCTCTACAATCTCCAAGCATTCGAATTCGTTACACGTGCATGTATAGTTGTTGATATTAACCTACCCGACCCACTATCTATCTCCACTTATCTACTGGTTTGGGTAGATATTGTTTGTCCTTATCATTCCGTGATGTTATTTGCTTCTTAACATATTCAAGAGTACACTATTAGATAATAAAATTTATGAGCACGCGTATAAATATTCTTTTAAAAAAATTTATTAGATAATAAAATTGAAAAACTTTTTATAGGGTTTAATTGGTAATATATTTGATGAATTAAAAGTTTAGATTAAAATTTATACGCCTAATAATAATAATAATATTGTTTAATTAATTAATTATTTTTATTTATTTGACCTGTGTTAAACGATATAATTTGCCCATCTCTACCCGCGCCAGAACCTCTCCTAAACCCCAACGAACAAGCGGAGAGATTTCTTTCAGTCGGCGATCGGAGATGAAGGTGGTGGCATTGGTAAGCGGCGGAAAAGACAGTTGCTTTGCCATGATGAAGTCGATTCAATACGGCCACGAGGTTTCGTTTTCCTTCTCGATTTTCCCTCTTAATGTTCACTGGCTGTTACAGTTTATGTTTTCGTTCAATTTTGGTTTGTTTGATTTTCTATTTTCAGTAAATTTATACTGCTGTTTGGTTCAGATTGTAGCGCTAGCTAATTTGATGCCTGCCGATGATTCCGTGGATGAGCTTGATAGTTACATGTATCAAACTGTAAGTCTTCTTGCTTTCCTCCTTGTGCAAAAATGCACGGATTCGTCACTTACAATTTTGAAGTAAATGGTTGATTTGATTTTTGACAATCAACTATCGTTCTTCTTTATCATGTAAGTGCACTTTTTGTTTTAAGTTTTGAACTCTCCAACCAGGTCCCTGTCTCGCAGATTGAAAATTCTCTGTAAAAAATCAGGCACACTTTTTGGAATTGGAAATAATTAAGTTATGCTTCCTTCTCCATTTTCAGAACAGTAATTAAAATTGAATTCCTGCATTGTTTGATGGGATTGACATGGTTGATTTTCTTGTCCCTTCCCCTTCTTTTCCACCAAAAAAGTCCAACTAGTATGACCTTGAAATTTACTTTTCTTATAAAATTTTTGACGGGACCTGTGAGATCCCACATCGGTTGGGGAGGAGAACGAAGCATTCTTTATAAAGGTGTGTAAACCTCTCCCTAGGAAACGCGTTTTTAAAATTTTGAGGGAAAGTCCGAAAGGGAAAGCTCAAAGAGGACAATATTTTCTAGTAGTGGGCATGGGCTGTTCCATGACCCGTGAGTTAACTCACTCCTTTGGTTCACTGTTAATATTTTTCTTGAAGACACTGAGGAGTGTTAAAGAATCTCTATAGACCCAAAATATTTTGATCAACCCAATGTGTTGGGTTATGACCTTTTTTTTTGCTTTGAGATGGAACCGACCCAAATTATGATTATTATTACTATTTATTAAAAGACACATCTTTTTGTTATAATAACTTTTTCATATTTATTTTTATTTAGCTCCTCATAGGAGTTTGTATCTTTTGAATATACTACTAAGTTGTAACACTTCACTAATCAATGAAAAGCTTGTTCCTTGTTAAAAAAAAGTTCTTATGCACACACACACACTAACTTCATTTCACGCATAAATTCTTTTAGATATTTTACTCTCCACAATTACAGTAAATACAAATCTCTAAATCTCTGAAATTTTATTTTTCATAAATGACTTTGTAACCAACAATGTCTGGAAATTAGAAGACAAATATTGAAGTCCTAATACCTCTTGTATTTTTGTATTTGTTACATTATAATGAATAACTAGTCTGGACCATCAGGCCAACCCAACCCAAATATGTTATGGCTGCATTTGGTGCATAATTTAATAAGAGGTATTTTAAGTTAACCAATAACCACAATAGTTACCTCACTCCTTTGATTTGAGACTTGAATTACCTCACCCCTTTATATATGTATATTATCATTTGAGAAGTAATCGAAGGCTTGTAGTCTAAGATTGCTAATTTGGGTTATTGGCTATAAATCTTTAGGTTGGACATCAAATTATTGTTAGCTACGCAGAATGCATGGGAATTCCATTGTTTAGAAGGCGAATTCAAGGATCCACAAGGTAAGTCTATTAAAAAAAAGGAATTCTTAGGTAAAAAGCATCAGCTTGATGTGTGTGTTTATTTATTTATTTTTTTGCACTTTCGTGGACCATTTTGCTCGAGAAAATTAGGAGTATTTTTTGAGGCGTGGAGAACTTTTGGGGGTTGTTGGGCTTTAATTAGGTTTAATACCTTCATTTGGGTTTTGGTAACTCAGCAGTTAGGAGTTTAGTGCTTTTCCTTTGTCTGGCGCTCTTCTTGTAATTGCTATTTGGTTTTTGTTTTTTTCCCACTGTATCTCAATATCATGGGCTTCCCTTTTCTGTACTCCAAATCTGTACGTTTATGTATATTATCTGAAAGCTGGTATTTCATTGAAAAAAGTTGTCTGGGCTAAAAAGTTGCATCGCCCATTCATTTAGTTTTATGATACAAGCATCAGGTTATTTGCACAAATTGGGAGGCTTTATTCATCCCTCATAAGAAGTTCTATATCCATAGTTTATTGTTTTGATTTTTCACTCTTTTGGGAGTCATTGAACATTATTGTTCCTTTTCATTAATCGAAAAGGTTGTATCTTGTTTAAGAAAGATACAATGCATTAGGTTCCCTCTCATTCTAATGGTTACTATTTTATGGAACTATTCTAGGCACCAGAAGCTTAACTATAGAATAACTCCAGGTGATGAAGTGGAAGATATGTATATTTTGCTAAAGGAAGTGAAGAGGCAATTACCTAGTGTTTCCGCAGTATGTTCTGGTGCCATTGCATCTGATTATCAAAGATTGCGGGTAGAGAGTGTTTGTTCAAGGCTAGGACTTGTTTCTCTAGCATATTTGTGGAAACAAGATCAATCATTGCTTCTACACGAAATGGTAAATAACATGTATATAATCATTAAAATGGACATGCAACATTTGAATTTTACTCATAAGTCTTATTCCTCTTCTTTTGAACTAGATAAACAATGGAATTTTGGCCATCACAGTGAAGGTATAATTCTCTCTCTCTCTCTCTCTCGTGTTTCTTTTTGTGTTGGAGGGGGGGGGGGGGGGGGGGGG